TGGTTGATTCTGGTCACTCTCACTGTTCTGCATTTCTTGTTACTGTGAGATTAAATCATTGTCAGTGAGTCCCATGCCTTGCTGTCACCCTCAGCTCCCAGCTCACCTTCCCTGAGCAAGCAAAGTTTGTGGCTTCCATAGCAGAAGGCTTGGCAGTTTACATGTGTACATGTGTCTGCTATGCTGTGCTTACGCTGGAGAAGTCAAAGAAGGTGCACCAGAGAAATGTAGCTACCAACTGGGACAGAGGTTTTGTGAGGACTGTGGGACTGCAGAGCTCCTAGAAACAGAAAATTATTTCTATGCAGACTGTGGAGTCCCTTGTGCCACAGGAACACTGCTGGGGTTTGAGACTTCAACCCACAGCAAACTGCTAACGTATGGAATGTGACTCAGTACTCAAGGGATAGTAAGAGCTTCACCTTCTCCATTGACTTCACAGCTGTAAGGTCAATTCATGAATGAATCCTACAGCTCCTTCTCAAAAATAAAACCAAGATAACTTCTCCCTATTTTTATCTCATGTGTTTTCTTTCCACCCTCTAATCTCTCTGCTGTTTATCCCTTCATCCCTAGCTTCTACTATTATATTTTTTTTCTCTTTCTCCAATCTCTTCCTTGTTCTCTGTTCCCTCCTCTACCCTCATACTCTCCAGTTTGAATGTTCTGTTTTCAGCTTGGAAGGAAGCAGAAGTAACAGAAAGATAGTGCAAGACATATCTAGTATCTCTGAGAGGAAACCCAGTGAGAAAAACAACTTCTGTTTTTCCCACAGTTTGTTTTGCAGAAATTATTTTAACATAGCTATGCTCTTGCTGGCATAAGGAAGAAGTAGCCTTCTTTGCCAATCTGATTAATTTTATCACCACTGTCTCTACTGTAATACATTTTTCTCCACTTAAGTGCAATAATTAATATGTCCTGCTGTACTCTGTGTGTGTGTGCTATCACAGAAAATGCAGGGGAGAGTGATCGAAAAGATAATTAAGCCAACCAGATTAGCATGTTCTGTTTCCTGTTCTTCTTCATCCTGTGCAGATTCAGCTTTTTCCCTAGCCTGGATATAACACTGGTGTCTGCAAGCTGGATGCTGTGCTGGCTGCAAGACCACTTCACTGTTCTTTTGCCCTGCGCCATCTCTTAGGTTCATCAGCCAACCCTCTTTAGACTCCTCACAGAACACCAGCCAGGAACGTAGTTTTCACAGCAGTTGTTAAAGTTCAGAATCACGTTCATGAATTGATGAGCCTCAGAACACTCCATCCATGTGCAAATTGTAAGAGATATGTGTAGTTGTGATAGCACTGTAGGGTCCTCATTGGGATGCTCTCTGAAAAGAGGAAACAATCAGAGGGCAGATCAGGCTGAAGGAAACAGTGGCAAATGGTAAAATGAACTCAAGTTACTCTACACTGGAGAAGGCAGAGACAGAGAAATGAGGACTGGGTGATGAGATCTGCTAGGAATATCCCTAGTATTGATCCATACTGCATATATGTCACCAATAAAAATTGACCCTTCACAAGAAAGTGGCAAGAAGTCTCCAGCATCAGCTGCTGCTCTTAAGAGCTGATGGACTGTTGTTACATTATCATTTATCAGAATTTTATTGTGAGTCTTTGAACTGAGAAAGTCTCAACTTTCTGAACTCGTTTGTAAATCAAAATGGTCATGCAAGAAAACTAAGATTCTGGTCTACTACCTGTGAAGAAAATCTGGAATTTTTTGTAATAAGTAAAATTAATTTTCAATAAATATTCTAATTCAAAAGATAAGTCCAAAGAGTTAAGCTTGATGTTTGGAATTCATTGGAATTCATGCCTTTGAATCAAAAGGGCTTTGTAACACTGGTTAAAACCTCAAACACATCTTCCCCTTTCCCCCACCCACACAGGAATCACAGCCATTCCCATACAGTGAATTATCATCTAAGACTTCTGATTTTACCTCTGTTTGTCTTCCTGAGCTGCAGAGGCCTGATGCCCCATGAAACTACACCACAGATGGAAAACTGTCAAGCAAGTGTGAGTATAACACTGAAAACCTAACAGCGCAGCTCTTCCCAGTGAGAAGCCTGTTGTTGAAGTAAATGACAAACTGGGTAATGCTGAACAGGGATTTATTTAGCTGAGCACTCACATCAGCATCAGTGTCCTAGGATAAGCATAATTCTGAGTCCTGGTAATTCTCTGCATGGTTTTGCAACAAACAAGGGTTCAAGCCGAATGGGAAGACCCTCAGGACCTAAGCAGTGCAGTGTTGATTTTTCTACCCCTTAACAAGAGAAGGAATCTGGCAGACATTTAGAAACACAACTTCTAAAAACAATTATAGATTTTTTAAAAGCCAAACAAATGCTCTTACCAGTCCATTGCTCTTCTAGCAGTTGAGAGAGGTCTCAGTAAAAAGTCAGTAAGGGCAAGATATGAGTGAATGATTTATTGTTTAAGGCAAAAAAAAACTCAGATGCCTTATTAAGCAGGACATTCAGCTTTGCCTTTGTGGGTTGTTTTAATTTGATGAATACATTCCTGTGCTCACTGTATAAGCTCACTTGCCTTAGCAAGGAAGCTTAGCTCTAGGAAGTCATATGCAAAAGTGCATATGCACTAGGAGGTCACATGCAAGAGGTGCTGGAAACAGTGTTGATAGTTCAGGGATGTTTTAGTTCCTGCTGAGCAGTGTTTACTGAGTCAAGGCCTTTTCTGCTTCACACCATCCCACCAGTGAGTAGGCTGGGGGTTCACAAGAAGCTGGGAGGGGACACAGACAGGGCAGTTGATCCCAAATGACCCAAGGGATATTCCCTAGTGTATGGCATCATGCTCATCATAGAAAGCTGAGGGAAGAAGAGGGAAGATGAATGTTTGGAATGATGGCATTTGTCTTCCTAAGTCACCATAACATGATTTTGCTTTACCTATTAAACTGCCTTTATCTCAAGCCACAATTTTTCTCCCTTTTACCCTTCCCTTTCTCATCCCACCACAGGGAACTGAGTGAGCGGCTGTGTGGTAGTTGCCAGGTGGTTAGACCAAAAACAGGTACATTTCCAGTGCCTTTTATATCAATACCTTTTATTAAACACCAAAAGCCTCCAACACTTATGAGTAATGGCCAAGCTCCTCCCTTGTGCAGGTTTTGTGCCTCTGCTCCATCGGCTGTGTTATCAACCGAATCTCCACTCGTGCCTCATAGGAAGCAGCCAGACCTCACTCTAAAGAGGTCTAAAGAAAAGGGAAACCTTGGAGGTAGAACAAGTCAACAGATATAAGGAAGAGACAACTATTGTTGAGATAAAAAAGGCAGGGTGGAAAAAATTTTCTTACAATCTATACCAAAACGACACCTAATGATGGGACAGGCGAAGTCGCAGCTCACACCGGTGATAGTCAGGCCTGCTCAGGTGTGAAACTTCGTGACTACTCAATTTAAGTAAATATACTATCGGGCTTTAAACACTGTCTAGCCCACGAAGTTTGGGGTCTTCCCTAAATACCATTCACAACCCTCCCACTGACACACATGTGGAGTGTTTGGATATCTGTGTACACTCACAGAGTCTCCTTCTCTTTCTGTCAACAAGATGGAAGTAGAAAATAAAGGCAGAGTGGAGAAATGCCAGGCTAAGAGAAAAGGAACAATAATAGAAAAGGAAGGGGGGAAAAAAGAGTCTGAAACTCACATCTAGTAGTTCCAACCCCCAAACCCAAACATGGAGCCAGAATAAGACTGATTATGACCTCTCTCCTCCTTACAGCTTTCCACACAAGCATGATTTTATGTCAGGACAACTCCTGGCATCACTGACTGTTCTTCCTCAAATGCATGCTCAACAGTCACTGTTCTTCCTTTTTTGTCACTGAGTGTAGCTGAAATCAAAACTCTGTGGTTAGCTGGTAGTCTTGGGCTTTTTTTGGCACCAAACCACCTCTTCAATCAGCACTGACATAATGTCTCAGAGTAGATTCATATGTAGATGATTGATTAATAGGCAAACTTTCTGTCTCTTCACCAGAGGACAAAGAATAAGTTTGCTGTTTGGAACTAATGATAGGAATTTCTACCTCCTCCCTTCACCTTGAGAGTAATAAATAACCCCTAGGTTATGAGAAGGAATTAATTATCCGTGTTTGTTCACACATCTGATTCACAAAAAGTACACTCCACTGAAACACAGTTCCATTGAATCATGAACCTGCCCAAAAAGAACCACTTCCCTGCCTTTCTTACCGCTCTTGCTCTCAAAAACATACTTCTGGTGAATTGAGAGATTCAGTCATCCTATTCCTTCACTTTAAGACCTGATTCACAGGGCTGTTAAGTCCTTGTTTGTTAGGAGTGAGAGGGCTCCTTGCCAATTCCTTACCCAAAGTAACACTATGGGGGCCTCACCTGAATGCTGAGTGGTCTCCAAGGCAGGTGTCTTTTGACTGTCTCATTTATTGCAGATGCTGAGTCAGTGCAGACACAAATGTCAGGGGGACACCCAGAGCCTGACCCCTTCAAACGAGCCTGGACTCCATTTTTCCCTTTCAGTTGTCCTGTTGTAGTCTTCAGCACCAGCAGCAGGTTTGATTTCACAGAGTCCCAGAATGGGTAAGTTTGGGAGGGACCAAACTTATTATCTGGTCTGTCCCCCCGCTCAAGAAGAGTCATCCTAGAGCACATTGCACAGAATTGCATCCAGGTGGCTGTGGAATATCTCCAGTGAGATATCTCCACAACCTCTCTGGGCAACCTGTTCCAGGGTGTGGTCACCTGCCCAGTAAAGTTCTTCCTCATGTTTGGGTGGAACTTACTGTGCATCAGTTTCTGCACAAAAGATTTGTTCTCTCTGACATTCTCGATTTTAGCGTAGGTCCTGCAATTAGGTTCCTGATCAGATGTCACAGAATTAAGAGGAATAGAGAAGTTCACTGTTCACTGTTACACTTGGCTAAAACAATTTCCCAGAAAAGTGATATTTCTCTGCAAGTAAGATGTAACGATCTCCTGACAGAGGCTGAACTTTACTGCTTGTTCCCTTTTCTGTTGATCTGCACTCAGAATCTGTCCTTTAAATCATTATTCTCCTTGTGTGCAATGCTTTCTGAAAGGAAAATTCATTTCCATAAAGTTAAATACTCATTAAATAAAATATTAGTTTGCATTGTTGATGTTGTCTCAAAGACACATTCTTGCTAACCCTGACATGTTTAAAATTGTCTCCATCCAGTAGCACTGGAACTGTGGATTCTGCTTAAACCAAACCCACACAGCTGAGGGATAAAAATTCTAGCCACACTCTGGCTACATATTTCATTTAAGTGATATCACCCTGCATCAGTAGGAGTGAGGAAAATACACTCAAATGGAGAGAGTGTAATTTAACATATATTTAGATCTTTTTAATCCTAGGGAAAAAAGGAAGGGGATTGGTGGCATTTAAATAAGTGAGAGGCAGCAGAGTCTCTTACTGTTTCCTCCAGCCTAGACTGCAGTCTCTTTGAAGAGGGCACTGTAGTTTTGGGCGATACTTTCAGCATCTGAAAGGAGCAGAGCTCAGGCAACTTTGGATTACATCTTCCACAGTGTACACAGTTTTTTGTGAATCAGTGCCAGCTGGAAGTGCTTTGCAAATAAAAAAATTAAAAAGCTAAAAGAAAAACAGAATGGGCCAAAGAGAGGAAGAAGAAAGGAAAGGCACTTGACAAAAATTTCAGGATATACTGTAAAAATTAATGTTGTCCGCAGTGTGCAGACATGAGCTTGAGATCAAAAACTTCTCATCTTCACATTCCCCCAAAGGGCACACATGCACTCTCCTTCTTCATGCTTTCCCAGTTAAAAAAAAAAAAAAAAAAAAAGAGAGAGAGAAAGAGAGATGTGTAAGCTTATCCTTCCAATTTTTTCTTAACAAGCAGAAGAATTATTCCACTTAGATGGAGAGACCTCAGTGGTGAAAAACAAGGACTGGTAGTGAATACCCATGCACGACACCTCTTGAAACTTCAGTCATTCATAAGTAATTTCTTTTTGTCCTTTTCATGCTTGTTAAGCAAACTCTCACTGTGTGTGATTCCAAGCAATACTTTGTTATTCCTCTCACTTAATTTACTCCAATTAAGGTTTTGCATCCCTAGACACAAAGAATCTACCTATCAGATGGAATGTTTCTGCAACAGAGTAATGCTTGGTGAACATGAGATTAAAGGTCCCTTGAGTAGAACTGAGGCATCCCTGTTCAGCAAAGCTGCTACAATAACCTGGGCTTGCATGGAATGTGACAGTATCACTGAGAGCAAATTCACCATGCTGGTCTCATGGCAGAGTCTGGCACTAGCAGTTACCTTGTTAGTTTGCACAAAAATGACTGTTCCAAGACATGGCTGTGCTAAAAAGGCCTGAAGAGCTTTGTCTTGGGAAAGGTGAAAGGCAACTTCCTCTGTATAGTCAGGCTGTGAAGTGGTGCCTTTCTTCTTAAAGGCTGCACAAAATTAGCTGACATGTTAATTCCTATCTAAAGTGAAATCAAGTAAGAACCTTCAGCAGCAGCTTAGGGCAGAGGTTCAAGAAAACTCTTCTGATACAATGACCAAGTAGGAGGGATCATCTAAAGCCCTGGGTTTCTCCTGCTCTGTTTGCTGATAGATAGTGGAAGCAACTTTCATACTTATATATAAAAAGCAGGGCTACTGGGATGGGCTCTTTGACCACAAATACTTTGATTAATCCTTTCAGAAAACACAGAATTGTGAATTGACAAGACACACAAAAAGGCCATTTGTAAATCCATTAAAAACTTTTATCCCAAAGAGACACTTAACTGGACTGAATAGATGGGCAAGGCAAGCCTTTCAGCTCCAAGACAGGACATGAAGAAGAAGCCAAATCATCCTTTAGACACTATGTGGGCCTTGACATATCCGTATAGACCATCTATAGCCTCTCTTGCACTCCGTGGAAGTTTTGTCAAGCATGTGATGTCACCGACTGATATCACAGTAGCCAGGTATCATCTGCTGGATTTAGTCTTCACCCCCAGGAGCAGGTCACCTCCCAAAAGGAGATCCTGAGTTACAGGAACTATACCAACACTGCACTATGAGTTACTCAACAAGTACCATGTCCAGCAAGGGCTGATAGGTGTCTTCAGTAGGACGGGCTCCCTTCAGGAGCAGAAAAATGGAAAATATCTACTTCATTTCTCATGACCAATACAAACATGGACAAACACTTTACTTGAAAAGACACATGCAGCTAAAAAAAAAAAAATATGTAGTGCAAGGAATCTAGGCATTCTCTCAGTAAGTGCCAAGAAAGACCCAATGGTGGTGGCTCATGCCCACACGACTGACAAAGAAACAGCAGGCAAGAGGTCCTGAAAGTGAAGTTTAAACCAGGAGGCTGAAAAAGCAGCCCTACATAGTATCATTCTTCAGTGGTCCTGCTTTTGTACACTCTGTCAGATAACAGAGTCTCAGTGCATGATTGATTAAACTGTGTAGGGAAAGAGCGATTACATTTATTCATATCTGGTAAAATTTAGAAGCAGAGTAAGTTTACATAAGACGGGTTCCACCCAATCAAAACAGAATCAGTGCTGCTGACATTTAAGATTAAAGACACTATGAGGCAATTCTAAAATGAAAACCAGGGAAATTATGCCAGATGTGGAAAGTAAATTGTTCAGATTGATCTATTTGTGTGTTCTGAAGTCACAGAAAGCTTATGACTCAGAAAAAGGAATAGAATAAAAGGTAAGAAAAACAGAAAGAAAACCAACAACCTGGGTAAGCAGAGCATATAAAACTATACAACCAAATCAAGACAAATGCCCAAATATGTCTATACAAATATTTGCTTTTTAAAGTACATTTTCAATGGCAGAATCATTGGCAAATGCCTTAAAAAAATTAATAGGTATTAAGGAATGTTGATGAAAATAATATATTTAGTGGAACACTAGTGCACGATTTGCCAGGACAAGGCAAAGGTTAGAACTCTGGAATGAGACCACAGACTCCACTCAATTGTTAGCCAATGTTTTGACACAGCTCTTGTCTATACCAAAGAGCAAGCAAGGAACAGTTTCCAATATGCAGTGTGGAAAAGGCCTTCTACTGTTGGGGAAGGAGACTGGATACAGAAATCTTCCGTGACTGCTCTTACAGCCAGAAAGGGACCTTGGTCTACTCTATTTGCTAGTATGCATCTAGTCACAGAGTCTACTGTTTTAGCCACTGTGAAAGATTGCTTCTTGGAGTTATTTGTGAAAGCACTCATGAGAAGGCAAAGAAACTGATTTAGTCCTGAATAATATACAAGACCTAGTACAAGTTGAAACAACAAAAGGCGTAAGTTTGTGACAATAATGTTTTTAGGAAAAGACTGGCAAAAATAAAATAAACCCAAGAAGCTGTTAAAGAATCAAATGTCTTCAGTGACAAAGAAGCTGTTTAAAGAATCAAATAAAAACCTAAAAGTGCACTTAGACCTTTCATAAGTCTACCCATGCTATAAAATTAGGGTTATCGTAGCCTCAGTGTTCTGAAAAAGTAAATGAGGCAAGACATATAGAGAAAAAGGATAACTTATCTTTTCCAACTAAATCCCTCTGTTTAATAAAACATAATTACTTTCTTTACAAGCCTTGTATAACCTATATTCTTACTCCGTTGTCTTCTTATCGTATGAATCTGTAAAGGAAATTAAACATTTAACTGCCAAACAAATAATTGAGGTAAATAATCAAGGGCTTTAATGGGTCTCAACATCAGAGAAAAAGAAATACCAAATGAAAGCTTTTGAGGGGTACTCAGAGAAGAATCCAGGCAATTACTGACCAATCAGGCTGGCTTTTGTACAGGATAGGTGATACAAACTATAATGAAACATAGAAATAGTAGAGAAAAATCTTCTGGGGAAGAGTTAACATCTCCTTATAAAAGAGAAAAGTCATGCTCATAAAGCTGGTAGAGTTCTTGGAAGAACTCCAGAAGCAAATGGGTACAGGGTTATCCAATTAGTGCATCATACCTAGATGTCTAAAAAGCTTGAAGTCTCTAAAAAATGCATCTCCAAGAAGCAGAGATAAAAGGAAGGTTATCATGTAAATTAACTTCATTTAATGACAGAAAACAAATGAGAAACATTATTGGCTAGTTTTCATATTGGAGGAAATATTTAAGTGATTTCTCCCAGGAAAATTGTAATCTTCAACATAATTATAAACTATCTGTAAGACTGAGTGATGAGAAGTCTCTCACCTGAGAGATCTGAGTGACTGAGAAAGACAAAATTTTATCTGGGTTACTCCAACCTAATGATGATGGAGAAAATACTAAGTTATTAGGTATAAATGGGATTTGACATTAGAATCATAGAACCAGGGATGCTGAAACAACACCATGAATCCATCATGCACCTTCAATGAATGAAGTAAACTTGAAAATGTGTGTTAAAGTCTTATATACCTCTGAATGCTGCAGGACAAACAGCTTAGAAGACGAAAAAGTACTCATCTCAAAACTTTGCAATGTGTGTGCACACTGTGAACCAGGAGCTGGAAGATTTTGAAAAAGGAAAAAGGAAAAGCTATCCAGTTGTTTCAGATAGATTTACAACTACTTCTCTAGACAAACAAATTATCATTCAAGAAGAAGGACCATATGTTTCTCTACAAACAAGCTGGAAAGTACAAAACTGCAGAGGATTTGACCTAAAGCTGGCTCATGTTGAGTGAGTTTGCAGAGGAGTTTGGGTTCACCCACTGAACACCACGGTGAAACATCTGTTGTGTAATATGAGGAGTTGTTAGGATTCAGATTGTAGCATAGGGAATCCTGGTAGGCCCTTGAAAAGGCTTGTATAACTGGCCAAAAAGGGCATAAGTGCTACTTATTCCCCATGTAGAGAGTGTGACATGTTGTGTTTCTTTTCATGGAAATTTCATCTCCAGAGTGAGAGCAGAAGGGAGCAACTAGAGAGTGAGGAGAAGAGGCAGAGATCATTCAGTGGAGTTCTGTGGGAATAAGGCTGTGTGTACAACAGGCTTGTGAACAAGAAACCAAAGGGACTGCAGGATCAGTTAGGTTTGTTTTCCGGTACCCTGGAGAGGTACAGGATTCTCAGAAATTCTCCTATCATTACTTGAGGCCTTGGAGGGCTTTCCAATCCAGGTTTCTTTTTCTAGCAAACCATTCAGCCCCATTTTCCTTCCTTACTTAAAAGAAAAATCCTGAGATAGCAGAAACACAACAGAGCAGTTCAGCCTTGACCTTAATTAGAACCACTGTAGTCAGAATATACTTCCTCCCCTAATCTCGTGCAAATTCAGGTAATATGTTTCTGGTTGATGAAGATTATGATAGGGAATAATAAAGTGATTACTTTAGAGCAACGAAAAGAAAAATGCCTGCTGTCGAAACATGGGCAGAATCCTTTATGCCTGAGTGGGCAGTAAGGAAAGGGTTGCAATAATCTCATAACTGTATATACAGTGTAAATAGGGAGCCATAAAAAGTGATTTATAGTATTGAGATGCTTACCTCTCTTTTTTTGACTGCATCAGAAACATTGGTGACTCATCATGCAGATATACAGGCTGAGGGGCTTGAATTACTTAGTGAGAAGCCGTATAGAGAGGAGCATGTCATAATTGGCTCCTGAATCATCAGAATGGTGATTCCTCTCCTGCATATCAGTAGCTAGCACTGGAAAAGGTAGCAGCAACCTGCTTCTGCACAGTAACTTTGTGGCTCAAGCTAATGATCAGGAAGTTGAAGATCTGGGACTCATGACAGCTTCTAAGTCTTGAATCACCACACCAGGTTACAGTATTGTAAAATGCATTTTACCCCCAGCATTGCACCTGGATCTCATGCAGAAGAAAATGGAAGATTCTTAGGATCAGCAACAGATGAAGTTTATGGAAGTTTTCATTCTGTAACCCAGTAAAAAAAGGATTCCTTTAGCAGAGCAGAGCTGTAGATTATGAGCCCTGCTTCCAGCGTTCATTACAGTATTATATTTAATAATACTTAAATGGATATTGAACAAGGAGTCCCTAGAGCAGAAATTCATTCTGCCCTAAACCTATTGTTATAGTTGCAAGGAAAACCACTGCTCAGTTTCCTTAGTTTGGCAATGGCACGTTACTCGGCAAGTTCCAGGCTCCTGAAGTGATCTTCAGATGATAATATCCACTCTGTGGATATTATGTGCTTGTGTCTGTAAATCCTGTCTCCAAAATCAGCCTCTGCAAATGCCCAGTGAAGTGCAGAGGGACAGAAGGAACAGAGAGCTCTTAGAGTGCTGATGACAATGCAAATGGGCTCCATTCAAAAGCCACTGAGTTGAATAAAAGTTCTCCCTCTCACTATTCTTCTTGATTATCAAACCCCAGCAATTCAAGACCCAGGAAAGTGATGCATATCTAAGATGTGAATCCAGATACAAAATTTGCATATGAATTTAAACATCTCCTTTTAGGACATGCTTAGATAGAGCACAATCATACAGTCTGGAAGTAATTAATTGTGCCACTCATGAAAGGTAAAAAAAATCCATTAATTACAAAAGGTCTAAATTGAAAATCTCTCAAAGTGGTCATCAGTATTCTCTATCAGAGACTGCAACTGCATATCTTTCACTGTCAAGAACACCAAACTCAATTTGCACACCTTTCAGATTTAAAATGGTATTTCTGAGGATGAAATCCTCAAAAAACAATTCATTTCACTGCAATTTCTGAATCAGCGCTGTCCCATTAACCCAGCAGGAGGAATCAGCTGGCACAAACACAGAACTCATTATCTCTGTCAAATAATACAGCAAACTCAGAAGAAAGTGTCCTACCTCACAGGCAGCATAGCTAACATACAGAATATTTTGAGGCCTGATCAAACAAGCTAATTTTATTGTAACCACAATATTTTAACACATGAAAGGAAATATTTATAGGAAGGAATAGTATTTTTATTAGTACAGATTTTATATTTCTAAAAAAAGAAGTGTTTTTTTAGGAATGCAAGTCCACCCTCAGGTCTGAAATCAAAACCTTTTCACTGGTCACAAAGTGGCAGCCCCGAACAAATGCTCTTTCCTTACACCACTTTCTTTACAGTAAAACTGGAAAAAAAAACCCTCCTCTTTCTCAACACATCTTATTACTCAGGGAAAAAAAAACAACAAAGGATCAATTACACAGTTAAGATTAAGAATATTATGTATAAAGAGTCAATGAACTTAAAAGAAAATCATATAGTACTTTAACACTTAGTATTAGAAAAGCTGCAGTAGTTTTAGGCTTGTGCACCTTCCCAACATTTCTTGTGTGCCATTTTCTGTTTCCTGTCCCACTCCCTCCCTCTCACTGAACCTTAGAAGTCCTTGGGTTTTCTTTCAGCCATGTTTCTTCTCCAAATAGTTCTCTACAAGCTACTTTACATATCCCACTAATGTTACCTTCTTATCCTTAGCATTTGCTGTGATATACTGCACATTTACATTAAGAAAGCTTTCCTGGACTTCAACATTTTTTTTCACATTTTATATTTACCCTTCTATAACTTTCCTGGGTTTTTTTGTTTTGTTTTGTTTTTTTGGGTTTTTTTTAACCTTAGACAATACCTATTTCATGCCACAGTGGAAAGGCAGAGGTACGGAAGTTCCTTGGTGACTTTTAGATCTATTTTATAAACACACAGAAGTTCAACAAAATTGCTCTTAAGAATCTAAGTTTTCTTTCCAAGGTTTCCAAGCTTGTCTTCTTCTGTTAAGTCTGCATTTCCTGCCATCAGTTTTGCCAGGCAATCTGATACAATTGCAAGATGATTGTGATCTGTCACAGGATCATAAGGAGGATAAACTGCTCACTGCGGATAAGTCAAAAAGTTTGAAAAACACCAAAGACCAATACATGTATTTCATGCCAAATGTGTGAAGACCACTGATAATGATACTGAGCTACTTCAAGTTTTTCATCATGTTGAACTAGAAGCTTGAAAATGAAACTGGTGTTTATTTGTTCCATGGTTTGAAGGTTCATTTTCATCAGCTAGTTGCAACCTCTTTCAGTTATCTGTCTCTTTGGTATACATTAATATTTGCCCTTCTAACAGATTTCTTTGATCCTCAAAGATTGCTGCCAGGAAAAGTAATCATCTGATTTCAGGATTTTAAAAAGCTGAATAGCCTGCATTTTTGGTACATCCTTTTCCTTGCCAGTGATGGAGTCATCATCAGGTATGGGCTTCCCAAGTGTTGTCTTGCCTTCAGAAAGTTGCTTGACTTGGTGGTCTTCCTGACTATTATCCATCTTCACACTGGGTTTTAGGCTGTGGAAGCAATAGTCACCAACCTGGCACAGGAAAACCGGCTCAGTGCTGTCAGGGTTTAACACCACTAAGTTACCCTCTGACAAAGGCTGTTTCCTAGGAAGACCATTTTCCTTCTGTAAGACAGGCAAAGGAATCTTTGTGGGTTCTGAATGTCCATTGAGGCCTAACGGCACAGTAAGATAGTCTCCAAACCTCTCCAGGTGCAATTCAGGAGAAGAGGTTGGTGCTTGGCCTGAAACCTGGACCATGACACCAGTTTTCCAAGGAGAAAACTCATGGCAAGAGTGGTCACTGGGGGGCTGGGGCTCCTGTGAGCCACCAGGTGACTCCCCAGCAGTGACAAGTGGAGGATGGGTGGCAGCACTGGCTGATGGCAGTAACGGGCTCTCGGTGGTGATGTACTCCAAGGGACACTGCTGAGGAGACGTGGTACAGCTGAGAGCTTTTGGAGAGCTCTCCTCTTCTGTTTCCATCTTGGTGCCTTTCCCACAGGCTGCTGGGGCTGGTGAGACTTGTTCCTTATCGCTGAGGTGCTGTATCATTTCCTTCTGATCTGTCAGTAGGTAGGGCTTCGGAGGACCTGTTTCTGGCTCTCCTTGCCTCTGTGGAGCCTGGGGACACTCTTCCCTTGGGAGAGTCACATACTGAAGGGAAACTGATTTCTTCCAGAGTCCCTTTTTTTCCTGGTCCGATTCCGAGGGGTGATGTATATCAGGGTGGGAGGACATCACTGGGTTGTACAAGTATGGACCATTGAAAGCAAAGCAAGAGATTGCTGTGTGGGAAACAGTACTTGCATCAGCACTGTTTCTCCTTGAAACAGGAAAGGAACGACGAGCAATCCGACTTGAGCAGACAACTGGGGCATGTTCTGCCTCATTTAAAGCGTGGTATGAGTTCTGCAGGTCCGGCGCAACAGGAGAAACATCTATCTTTTGAGTCTGCCCTTCAGAGCACTCTGCCAAAGTCTTCGCCTGCCTGAAGGTGGGAAAGTTAAATGTTGCTCATGAGAGAGATTATTGTGGTAAACATTAAACATAAAACAAGCCTATTTGAAAATATGCATGGCTAAACACTGGCTTAGAAAACAGTCTAACCCACGTAGTAAACCATTGTATCCCCTTCTCAAAAGCAACTTGTACAGGTCTTTTAGTGACAGAGCATTTGATTGCATCCTGTCATGATGCAGGAAGGTCTTAGAGACTATCATCCACAATGCCACTATGCTGTTCACTTACCTGTCCAGAACTTGAAGGAAACTAGCCTGCTCCATCTTCTCTGAAAGGCTGTATTTGTTGAAGTCCATCTGGTTGCTTCTTGACCAGTTTCCCAACTGTGCTTTCTGAAAAAAGAAAGCAGACATGACCAAAGAGCAGTGTCCCATCGGCAGTAGAATCATGAAGAAGAACTGTACGTTCCTCGTGGACAAAGGTACAGTGTGCTGTGTGAAGAACTGAAGGGCAGGACCTCAAAGGTTTTAGTGAATGGGGCTACATCTGGCTGGTGATCAGTCACCTGCAGTGTACATCAGAACTCAGTTCTAGGGCCAGTTCAATATATTCATCAATGATCTCAATGCAGGACTTGAAGGCACCATTAGCAAGTCTGCTGACAATCCCAGACTGGGAGATTCTGATGACTCTCTTGAGGGACAAGAGGGCTTGCAGAGGGATCTAGATAGATTGGAGCATTGGACAATCATCACCGGAATGAAATTTAACAAGTCCAAATGCCAGATTCTCAACCTGGGACAGAGTAATGCTGGGTACAAGTACAAATCAGGAGAGGAGTAGCTGGAAAGCAGCCCTGCAGAAAGGGCTGGGGGTGCTGGCTCAAATCAGTGTGTACTCTGACAGCCAGGAGGGAAAACTCCATCCTGGGGTTCTTAAAAGACGGCGTCATCAGCCAGTCAAAAGAGGCAATTATCCTGCTGTATTTAGCAACAGTGAGGCCTCACCTTGAGTACCGTGTGAAGTTCTGGGCCCCACAGTTTAAGAAGGATTTTAAGGTACTCAAATGCATCCAGAGGAGGACAACAAAGCTGCTAAAAGGGCTGTTTTGGAGAAAAGGAGGTTGACAGGCAATCTCATCTCTTTCTACAGCTATATGAGGGGGGAAAGTAGAGAGGGAGGTGCTGGTCTCTTCCCCTCGATATCCAGTGATCAGCATTAGCTGATTAAGTGTGTTAATGACACTCGATTATGTCAGTCAGTTAAAATTTTAAAGTACTGAACATTTTCTAGCTTGATTTTACATCACAGTGGTGCTAAC